TTAGGAAAGGTCAAATGACAAGATTGACTTACGATTGTTTTCTTTGATCTGCTGTGCTTACGATTGCACCCAGCCCAATCCTGGAAATCACGTGTAGTATGGCAGGGGCACGGGACTAAGTACGTTCCACAAGGTCTCCCTGACGCTCCGACCAAGTTGCGAAATCAAGGTCGCACCAACAATTTCTTGATATTTTTGTAATAATTTGATCTTAAGGAAAAATGTACTTATACGACAATCTATATTCTGATATACCTATCTTCACTAGAAGTCATATTCTTTGGGAATAATTTGAAGCTAACCATTGTTGTCGTTACAAGATCAAGCTGACAGTACTTGTGGCTATGCGATAGTTAATTATACAAAACTATCTTTGTCCATTGAATCACTTATTTATTGTGTTATTGATCAAATTTGTGACTATCTTAGTCCTGTGTGGGTATTTATGCTGTCTTATTAAATATACACAATAATTTAAATGACTTGGAAGGGAAATTGTGATGACCAATGCGATGTGGCCTCTATTTTAGTCACTGTCTCCTTTGTTCTATCGAGGTCGTTTGACCTCGTTTTCGCAGCTTAATCGTTTGTTCAGAAGATCTAGCTGAGCACCCTCTTTTAGAAATATTTTTGGTTAGTAGTCATGATAATTTCCAACGTCAAATGTATCAAATCTACGGTCTAACACTGGAAATTATCATGACTACTATAGCAGAGGACTCCAGACTAGATGCATCCATTTAGGTCTCTTACACGGTCAAAAAGTTGCAAAAATTCAGTAAACTTACCTCTAGATTTGAAATGCTTTATCATTTACATTTCCATGCACAACTTTATTGTGCTTTCTTATCTCCACTAAGCCCTTTATTAAAGAATATTTAAATGGCTAGAACTGAAAGAGAATGTACTTTACTGTCGATTATATTACTCACAGCTCAAAGGCAATCTTCTCAGACAAAAATAAGGATTATCTCTAGCTATTGACAATTTGGATGATCGATGAATACTTCCTCGTTTCTTTCCTAAATTGTTTCCATTTGTTTAATTCCTTCACCACATTTCAGAAGCGTTATTTCACTGACATGACTACCGAAATTAGCCTGTCGGAACTGCTGGCACTGCCTAGGAAACAGAGAACCATTCCAGCTGACGCATCTTCCACAACCACCAATGATGCCTCCAGCATAGCCAGTGGCAGCCTCTCTGCCCGAACTGCAGGGCGGTTGACTTCTGATTTGCCATCTAGTCGTAGACGCCGTCAACTAGGCTCTGTGCTCTTGCCAAACAAACTGCAAAAACGCACACAAGCACAGAAGCGGCGCCAACTTGCGAGACAAAAGAGACTTCTAATTGCAGCACATCGACAGCAACAACAGCAACGAAGAAAACGGAAGAGCGCTGCTGGGCGCGTCGCAAAGTTGGAACTAGCTAAGAGACAGAGTCAACATAGATCTAGAAAGGGCAAGCCAAAGCTCAGCACTATCTCTTCTGATGAAGAAGCTGAGAAGGAGCAGCATCCCGATGAAGCAGAGGCTGATGGAGCAAGAGGTAGTGATATAGAGGGTAATGAAGTAAAGCGATCGGGCCCTCGAGTGAAACAAGTGAGCCGAAACTCCATCAGTTCGGCCAATGAAGGCAAGTTATTTAACTTACAAAATCTCATATTATATATCACCTTCGTAATTTTTATTTGTTTTGCTTACATCGATAAATTATCTTTGACCGATTTTTATTAAAGTAAGGTTTTCGAGACTCTGTTAATTTTGAATAAAAGTTCTGCCACGGACGGGCAACATTAATTGCTGAGCTTAATTCCATTTAGAGTGAAAATAAGCTCAACAATTATGAAACAAGAGATTCCTCGAAACCCAACTTTTCTTCGCAACTAGTAACTGCATCGATTATCCTTACCTATTAATTTAATCTTTCTTTCTTGATATTTCATCACATTATATTATATCGTATTCACTTTTTATCTTCAAACATTTTTGCCGCTAATTTTTTTCCTAGGAGTTCTCGCTGCCATGGTTCAAGCTGCACGTATGGCCACCGCCTCTACAGAGCCTGTTGCTTCTGAAGGCTCGCTTGTCACAGTTGGTGATCATATTCTTCCTGGTTCCTTGCGTGCTGTGTCTGTCGGACAGTTATCACAATTGTCTGTCTCACACTCTGGCAATGAATTATCAAAGATCGGTGTCAGCGTTGACCCTTCCTCAGTTTTGTCGGACTCAGCCTCCTCCATTTGCCATCGGCTTGCAGTTTCGGGCCATGATCCAGAACTTCGAGGGCTTGCTTCCTGTCGTCGGTGCCTGGACCTTGTAACCTCACAATGTGGCCATTGTGATGATTGTCAGTAAGTTGACCATACTTCATTAGATAATTTTGAATATTTTTGTGAGTTTTCCTTCCTATTTGGGACCTTATCCAAGTACTAAAGTAATGATGGGATATTTATTTTGAAGTTTTCCTCTTATTTCCCTTCAGTGATTTTGATGTCATTTGTGACCGATAAAATGATGTTATCATTTCTATAGAGAAGTTTATCTATCAATTTTTGCTCTTTCCTTTTAATCTAATTTATTTCTCGGTCACTTGTTCCTCATTGGCTTTTCAAATTTAGAGAGAAGCTTAACTGAAGCAATGCCAATTACGTGGCTTGGTCATTTCGACTTATCTTCTTGAATCAATTTCTACCCTTCATTATTACCACAGTGAAGGATTCTGGAATTCGTACACTCTGTTCCAGTATTATCTCGAGATAGTTCTATTTAATACTGCTTACTTAAAAGACAACTTCAACTCAAACTCCCCATTTTGATAATCGGCCATTCTTCCGCAACTTCCGGCTTTTCCTGAACCTTTCCTTGTGTATGCGAATTATTGGTTTTAGATAATATTGCTTGTTACTCTGCTTATATATTTCTCCCGTAGCCATTCCTTTTTTATTCTTTTTTTAAGTTCTTTGCTAAATGTCTTTACAATAGGTCCGAATGTGAGTGGGCATATGCTGTTGTATAATTATTTGGACAATATAGCGTTTGTAGATATGGAGAAGCGGTATTTCGAAGAATCTTTTATTAATTTTATATTTGAAGGCCTCATCGAAAACTGATGGAGGATTTTCTTAAGATT